TTCTTGGAAAATTAAAAAGAGTAATTTTAATTACTTGAATTTATTAAGTTAAAACAAGAAGGCATGATGACAGTTTTAATGGTTATGGTCAAATATTGTTCTTCAAACCGATCTCAAAATTTAATTAAATCATTTAAACTTTAGGAATAATCACATGAATTAAACTAACAACATCGATTAGATAATTAATTTAGAAGCAATTCTTGAATATATATTTAAAAACCAATTTATTAGAATTGGAGTTCACAATATGTTCGATAATATAATTATCGAACCATAAATACATTCATAGTTCATCATATAACTAAACGTATCTTATATTATAAATTATTTAACAAAATCATTTTCCAGTGTAATACTTTTGAAATATAGAGATTGATATACTATGCTCGAAATATTCTCACCTCTTTCAAGGAATTCCATCAAATTGAGCACAGTTTATAGTCAAAATGTTCAAATCCACGCCAGCGTTCATATGACCTATAAAATAAACACAAAAACGAACAAAAAGGGTAAGATTATCGGTAAACATTAACACGGGTTATTGTAATATGGTATGAAAATCAAATTAAAAAGGGTAACGTGCATGAATGAAAAAAGGGAATATTTAGCATAAACAAAGAGAGGGCCATGCACGTATATGCGTAAGACTCTACAAATCCATGCACGAGAAACCACTCCAACAGGCGGCCGTTTCAGACGCACGCAGCGTGGCACTACAACCACCACCGGGCTACGGCGGAAGGCGGTAGTGGATCGAAGTGCCACGCCGCCGTGCGCCTAAAACCAAGGAACGCCCTGAAATGCAAGGACGGCGGTGGGCAGTGGGCAGTGGGCAGTGGGCCGCTTTAAAGAAAATGAAAAGGGATGGTGGGTGTTTATATAGAGGAAGGGCAGTGGCGGGCGATGCGGCGGAGGGTGACGATGAAGGGCGGTGGCTGCGTGTCTGGTTCATACAACTTCCTAATTCCGCCCATTATTCTCCCCTCGACGTGTGGATTATCCCTTTTTTTTTCTCTTAAATATATACATTTTCATTATTATTATTATTATTATTATTATTATTATTGTTATTATTTTGCCTCTTGGCTGTGTTTCAAACGTATTTTCCTTTTATTTTTTCTATAAAAAAAGGGCTAATTTTTGTTTACTAGTTGCTTTTTCATATTTTTAAAAAATTTTAAAAGCAAATTTTCATAATTAATAAATAAATAAATGGGTATAAACCAGTATTTTAATTTTAATTTTAATTTTACGTATGTGGACATAAAAATATTATCGAATGGATACGAATATTCTTATTTGTTGTTTCATTAAAAAAAATGAAAATTTAAAAATAATTTAAGTTCGGTTAAATAATTTACAAAATTGTATTTAGCAGTTATTTTATATATTTATTTAATTTATTTGTTCGAGAAAGACAAATAATAATGTTTTTGGTAAACAATTTGTTCAATTCTCTATTATTTGACCGCCAAAAAATAATAATAATCTTAAAATTTCAAAATTAAAAAAAAAATTGTATTTGGTCCAATTTTTTTTAAGCTCATAATAAATGAATTTTGACGCTAAATTACAAATATTTGTATTCTTATAAATTTAATTATAATATATTTGAGAATATGATATTTTTATTTATTTTTTTATATAAAAAAATATTAAATTTTACTTTTAATACAAAAGTTATAATTATTAATTTTAAATATTGTAAGTAATTTAAAAAATGGAAAATGTATTTTAAGAAGATTTGAAGAAGGAATTTTTGTTTGTAAGTTGCATTCAACTTGTCAAGGTGTTTGAGTACGTTAATAGGTTTGGGAAGAACGCCACGTGGAAGTTAAGTTTAATGGACAAGTAGCTATCTCACGTGGCGACCGGAATTTGGGTGTTGGATAAGACGCCACGTGTAATGAACTCCACCTGGACACACTTATAAAATGGAATATTATTATCTGTTTGGCTTTACAATTTTTTTTTGTGTTTATTTCGAAAATAGTATAATTTATAAGCAAAATTTGATTTGGAAACCTATTCTACCCGAAAATGTTTCTACGTATGTGCTATAAGGTAGCTCGCTTAGGTCACAGGGTTCAGGGGTGGTGGAGAGTTGACACTATGTCATCTCCTTAAGATACCTTTTGAGACATTTCCAATCATTTTCGAGTAGATGTCATTTTTGGGAATGATCATACGGTATCTAATTGACACCAAATTTGGCAAGTATTTATATTTTATACGGACAGACTTGACTTCAAAGTTGCATACCAATTTCCCTTTGGAATACCGAATTTCGAGGTTAAAGCTCGTGGCCCTTCAACAAGCCTATCTTTGACACTCATGTCTACTCGTGACCCTCATCTTGCTTATGTCTCGTCTTTTCTTCAATACCCACTCTGTGTGGTGTGTGTTAGATGTTGCACCGTTCTTCTCTATCGCATCATGACACTCGTCTAACCCCTCACGTGGTCGAATGGACACCACTTGAGGATCGTTGATTTGTTGCGATGTGAGGGTCACAACCTACTCTCTTCATAGTATGGTTGTGACACCGAGCGCAGGCTTAGAAAGACCATCGACCATCAATTATCAATCATTCCCTTTAAAATTTATCCATGTGTCATGCAATTTTTAAAAACATTACTATCCACACGGTTAAAAAACACTAATTTAGTTCTAATATTATAATGGCTGATTCATCACCTTCCGCCTATATTTTCTTACAAATACCTATTTTTGCACCCAAATCTAGTGTTCTAACTAAAAAAATCTAATGCATACCAGCCCATTGCTAATCATGAAGGTCAGAAGTTGACTTGCCAAGAAGAGGATTGATGGGCAGATATCTATACTATGCGGCCCCTCTCCTCTTTGACTCTATTCTCGTAGCTACTGAACCTATCGGTCTGATCTCATGGCTTCGCTCAATCACCAGTTACAGGAAGGAAAGAAGAAAGAGAAAGATTAACGAGACTTTTTTACAGTGAAAGAATAAAGGGAGAGGAAAGAAAGATGACTGAGAGTGAACTCCGGAACCTGAACCTGACCCTTTAGTAAATGAATGAAGTATTCTTGAATTCGGTAAAGCAAGCACTAAGAAAGACGAAACTGATTTTAGCATTCGTGTCTCTGTTAGAACAGGGCGAAACCCTCGATTAATGAAACTTTACAGTTCAAGACTAAAGGGAGAATCCAACTTAACTCAAGAGTCAAGAGCCTATAGGAACCAGGCTATCTCTCTCTTGATATGTATACGTACGCAATATCTTCAAGCAACAAATCTTCTTTTTCTGCAGCATTGCTTCTATGATCTTAGAAGCTCTGTTGATAATGGATAATCTGACCTTACCTTCTTTCCTAACTAAATAGAATGAATTACATCAGGCTTTATCCTAGTGAGAATGAAAGAAAGAGGAAGAATCACTGAATTAGCTAGTGAATTCATTAGCAGCTTGACAGGAGAGCTCCGGCTGGGCCGTCGCCGCCACACTATGCCTCAAAGTGTGGGAATTGCACGCCCTGCACTACGGTTCTTGTGTCGGTGCCGTCGGGACCTCCAGGCGTTGGTGATGATTTTTCGAAGTCTGGAGATGCAAATGTGGGAACAAACTCTACATGCCCTGATCGGAAAAGGCATGCCCCCCCGAGCATGTATGCTCTTATATGTTACTTATCCGCCGATGAGCCGAAGTAGACGGAGTGGATCTGGTTCATTCATATCCCTATCATAAATCATGTATAGGTGAATAAGATTATTTCCTAAACAAAAAACACAATGATTATATACTCATATTTTATCACATATCAGCATCTCGTTGGAGTCGTATGTGTTTTGGTTTTGAGACTTCCATTCTTGGTTCCAATGTCATCTAACTATATGCTTCAACCTTAACTTTTAAGAGAGTACACAGATTGAGTTAGAAAAATCTTTTGAACCAATCCCAAATTTCGAATTTGTTAAGTTAGTAACTCCAACAACCCAAATAGGGTTCACAATCCAACCTTATGTTTTTTAGTTGAGTTGAGCTCACAACCGAACCAACCAAGGAAGCGTTTGGTTGGATTGGGTTGTAACCTTATTTTTTGGGTCGGGTTAGATAAAAATCAAATTTTTAGTTATTAAAAAATTCAACCCAAACCCAAATCGAAAAAATTATAACCCAACCAATTCTTTGTAGTTTAAGGTAGTTTGAATTGGTCGAGATATCAAATCATATAAACACCACTGTTAATTTCTATGAAGAAAAGAATATATAAGTGGTTAGAGTCAACAAATAAAGATACTCTACGGATCTCTAGATCAAAACATTATCTACTTTGAGAATGAACACTTGTAACTTAATATGAACATCTCGATCAGGATTTTCATCTAGCTCATTCAACCGTCGAACAACAGCAAAGCAACCCAATTCTACAACCAAATGGATGCAAAACCTATACAACTAGCTAAGTTCTTCACACCGAAAGGTCGTAGAAAGATGCCTTACTAGATATAACAAAAGCAAGGAGGAAAGGCAATCTAAATATGACAAGAAAATAAAAAAGAGTTATGGAAGAGTAAAGAAAGATGAGTAAAGTGTTGGGTTATTTTAAGTAGTTTGGGAGTAGACGAAATTGCTATTAGAATTAAGAAGAAAAACGAAAACAGAGCGATGAAAATGAAGAACACTCCATAAATTGGGTATCACCATCAATGGTGATGGCTACCCATTTTTAGAGTTGATATTAACATCATATATCAAAGAGACGTATTTGAGCTTCCAAGAACTAAGGGTCCCCTCCCTCTCTCTCTCCTTTTTCCCACTCTGTTTCCTTTCACCGTATCAAAAATCTCTTGCTTCTTCACAGGGGTTTGCAAATTCCAACCAATTACCCTTTCCCTTTCGTTCCATCCTGTTTGTTTCCCGAGAAAATTCTCTCTCTAAAAACCCCATTGATTTGACACCAAAATCTTACGGAATCCCTTTCCTTTTCTTCTCTCTCTCTCTCTCTATCTCCTCTGTTTTCTTGCAAGAACAGGGCTTCGTTTATTTCATTCAAAGCTTAGTTTTATACATTGAGATAAATAACAGAGGATTGATATGAGATTTTCTTGGAAGCCATGGATCTTTAATTAAGAAAGAAAACAAGTTACTAAAAGCTAAAGTTGTCTATGATCGTCTATTTCTTAAACTATGGCAGCTGCTGGTTTCTTCTTGTTCTTGTTCTTGATGGTTGTTATTCACTGAAATCTCTGTAACTCCGCTTGAACCAGAGGATGAAGAACAAGGAGCTGCTAGATTCAAATCTGCTCTCAGAAATTGATGAAAAACTGGTGTACAAATCTTCTTCTTCTCGTCTCTGTTTTTTGTGCTTTTCTTCAAAAATATCCGACATAAAACCCAGTTATGATTCTGCATAAAACCAAACAATCAGACAAAAATTAGTTTAGTTCTTCAATTCCAGATGGGTTTTTTGGTTTCAATTCAATTCCAGACAGGGGAAGCTCACCAAGGTGGGTAGTTCGCCATTAATGGCAGAAGGAGGAGCTTCGGAGTCTCCGACAAGGCGATACTCGTGCATAACCCAATCAGTTCTCAAGCCATTAGGAGGGTTTCCAGTGTAGAACACGAGCGTTTTCTTCAACCCCACCAACCGATTCTCCTTGGAAGAAACAATCCGGCGGTCGATTCCGGTGGCCTTCCAATACCCAGAACCGGTGGCTCTGTTCGACCTTCTTCCATTAGAGTATTTGGCTTGTCTAGTACTGAAAAAGTACCTCTCCCGCTCCAAATCCCCTGACCCACCAGAAATTTCACAAACCCCATGAGAAAAATCATCGCCAAATCCCCAAATGAAAAAAAACGAAATGAAATCGGAACGAACCTGGCAAGTCCCATGGGTCGAAACGGCAGACGTCGGCGTCGGGAATGACGGCGGCGGGGAGAGGAGAGGAAAGGGCTTTCTTAATGAGGTATTGGAGGATTAGCTCCTCGTCGGTGGGGTGGAAACGGAAGCCGGGGGGTAATCGGAGGACGCCATTTTTGAGGAAGGTGAGATTCTCCATGGTGGAAATTGGAAGAGATTGGGGAATTTGGGTGAGGAAGGGGAAATGGAGGGGTTGATTTTTATAGTGATTATTATTTATTGTTTTTTTATTATTTATTTATTTATTTATTTTTGGCGTAAATTAGACTCAAACTCGCCCACTTTAATTGCCTCAATTTAACACACAACTCTCCATACCACAACCAAGAAAGACAAACCACCACGCACCACCACTCATTGTCATGTCCTTGCTAGCACATCGTCTCGTGTTTTTAAAACTCAACTTCCTCACTAATTTACTCTTCGGTGTTTGACTTTGATACTATTTGTAACCGCTGAAGTCTACTGCTAGTAGATATTGTCTTCTTCGGACCTTTTTCGAGTTTCCACTTAAGGTTTTTAAAACATGTCTACTAAGGAGAGGTTTCCATGCCCTTATAAAGAATCGTTTGTTCTTCTCCCTAACTGGTGTGAGATCTCACATCATGATCAGGATCCATTATTATGGAAATGATTGTTGGTCACCAATTCTAGTTGCTAGTCATTGGTTGTCAACGATCGAGCGACTAACAATTCATGGTCAATGACCAAGATAAGGGACTGATGAACAACAACTATCGCACACTAACAACTATTGTCAACTGTTGTTAGTGGCTAAGGTTGGGGACTAGTAACTAATGACCACCGTAACCATAGTTAGTTAGTGATTGCTAGTCACTAGTCCTTTGTCTCAGTCACTAATTACTATCCCTCAATCTTGGTTACTGGCTATTGGTTGTCAACGACGGTAGTGGGGATTAAAATGATTGGTTAAAACTCAAAGATTAAAAAGGTAATTTTCTAAAATAATTCATCTAACTGATTTGAAAGGGGAACTAAACAGACCGTGGGAAATCTGCATAAGCGTTTTAAAAACTTTAAGGGTTAGTCCGAAATAAAAGGCAAAGTACAATGTCTACTAGCGGTAGGTCTGAGCCGTTACAATAATTTAATATTATATAAAAAAATTAACGAAATAAAATAAAAGATAATAAAAAAGAATATACTCAATATTATCACGGTAAAAACATTTATAACATTTTTTTAAAGTCAAAAGTCGGAATATTATCTTTATAAGAATATTTTTAGAAAAAATAGTGTATAGATCGTAACGATATAAATATATAATATAATAATTCTTAAATATTTATTTATTTCTTGGCTTCAACTTACTCAAATTAATTTATCCAGAAGAAAATTCAAGCATTGAGAACTTTTTTTTAATTAAAAATATATATATATAATTAAATAGCTAAAGTGAAAGTACAAAAGTACCCTCGTCATTATTGTTAGCTTTGTTCGTGTGCGGGGGGACAGGGATGGAATCGGCGATTAACAAGTCCTACCTATTAAAAACATTGATAAAGTTTTAAATTTAATTAATTTATATTATTTCGACCACGGTTTAAATTTTTGTTAATATAAAATTAATTTTTTCCCGTTAATTTCTTCGTTTATAGTGTTTAATCTTTAAATTTTCAGCACCGTCCACGTTACAGTTCATTCTCAAATTGACAGCCTCTACGATAAGCAAGTAAATGCAGTATCCCACGGCCCATTAATAAAAATTTTGTTATGAAGATATTTACACGTTAACGATTAAAACGAGACCTTTTAAAACAATAACAATATAATTACATCAAATTTCAAACACATCATTTAAATCACGAGTCACCTTTTCTTTTCTTTTATAAGAAAGTTCGGCAAAAATTAGGTTGTTCCTTAAAAAAAAAAAAAAAAAAAAGGGTCGGGTAGAAGTTAAATGAAGCTTTAGTTACGTTAAAGACATACTAATGACATTTTTTATAATTTAAGAGACTAAATATAAATTTCGAGTTAGAATTTAATAATAAAACGTTAAATATTGACTTTATTATGTTGTCAATCATAAATTAACGATTTTATTTGACATAACATTCAGAGGTCAACCAACATAAAATTAGTCAAAGTAAAGTACGTTTGATTTTTATGATCGAGCTATCGAAATTTTTTTTTATCTTATTAATATAGATAATAACTTCAATTGGGTTCATAAGTTGAGTGACGTCTGAATTATTTAAAATTGTTGTTCACTCAACTAAATAATTACGTCATTATTACAGTCGAATAGTATAGTTAATAAGTAAATTTTACCATAAATAGAAAGATTAAAGGGGGTTAAATTAGTTGTAATTATAGTTTAAATTATGTGATAAGTCAAAATCAAATTAATTATAGATACGTGAATGAATTAGTACCAACTTGTTCAAAAAAGGAAACGTGTAAACTCCCCCATACGCCAACTCTTAATTGCTTCATTTAATTCCAATTTTATTGCTTTTTTTTTTTTTCTTTACATTTATCAAAATTTTCATTCAAATCCTTAAACTTTTAAATATTGTTATTTAGTCCCTAAAAAAACGACGATTTTCAACTCTCGTGTATCAAAAAATTATTACTATTTTAGACATTCCAACGTCGTTAGTGGGTATTGAAAGGTAACAATACCTCGTTTTCAGCTATGTTTTTGACCCGTATACATTAATTTTTTTCTTATTAACTTGAATTAGTGGGTAAATTTAAGCGTTCATATCATGAGTTTATAATCAATGAATACTATCTCTATTGATTTGAGGTCTTTTGGGGAGCCTAAAACAAAGCTATGAGAACTTATGCTAAATATAGACAATATCATACTATTGTGGAGAGTCGGTGTTCGTTCAACATGGTATCAGAGTTATACCAATAATTTTTTTTTTGATTTAAAAAACGGAGTAATTAGAAATTAATATATTTTGAAAATTAGGGTTATGAATTATTATAATTTTGAAAAAGGTGAAAAATAAGGAAAGTGGTTACGGGGGGTTTAATTAAAACAACGGGCACCGTCACCGACGGTAGGGAATAATAATGCATTGAGGGGTGAGGGAGGGGAAAGGGACAAAATTGTCATAATATCTTTCCCTTCATTTCAAGATTTCCTCTTATCTTATTGTCTCCATATTTTGGATCAACCGGTTGAATTTTGGATATGTACGTTTTTTTGGAATCTTTACCCTCCCAAATTACCATTTTGCCCTTTTATGGACCATATTACTTATTTATAGCTCACTTAATGGTTATACATAGTAAAACTGTATATGTCAAATGACATATTCATCAGTAATATCTAGTAATACTATATACAGTCGAGGGTGCATGAAGTCATCAATATAAACCTTTAGATAATATTCCTCGTATTTTCTGTATCATGTGTTTTGTGTTAATCTAGATCAAAGGAGTGTTGAGGAATATTCTCTCCAAACCGATATTGTGGCATCTCAGGGCTCTAATATGCAAGAAATTTTAAACATTGATGCAAAAAACACTAAGGAACGATAGGGAAGCCAAGCCACTCGGACTGATTTTGTAGAGTGCACGTAGCCCAAATAACTCGAATGGTCAATGGATACATTCTAAGTAGGGAAATGCAACGTATAACAGACACGAAGAATAGCTTGCCAACACTAGGATGAGATAATAAAGTTGGCATTTTCAATTGTGGCAGGGTTGGATGTGTAGCACTTTCTTACACACATTCTATGCACCCACACGCATACATGGATCCACCTGGCTCTTGTACCCTTTGGACTTGGTTCGTTGGGCTAGCACTCACTAACAGGCTACCGAATGCCACTAACGGAAAGGACCCACATAACATCATGGTGAACATAAATGTCAGAAGGTACACATTCGTACTAAAATTTATTACACGTGTAAGAGCCATAGAGAACGTATCATCATACATCATACAATTGGTTCAACTAAACCAACACTAAAGCCACTTACTTGCTTGGCATCACAAGTCGTTTTCACAAATCTTCAAATGTCGTTTATCATTTAAATACAGTTTAAAGTATTACAACCAACCCATGAATGAATTTATTATTCAAACAAATATATTCATTACAAAAACATTTAATCCACCAAATAACTTGGTAGAACACCCCAAATTTGATATCTAAATGTATTGAAAACATACACATCCAACAGAGACCATTTCCTTAAACTATGCTAAAACTTTGTATTTAATTGGACTATATACTATTAATCCAAACCCACTTGATGAATTTGGATATGATATTGATGCGTAAAAGAAAAGTTAAAAGGTCTCCAAGGAATCCCTCTCTCTTTCATTGTTTCTCTCTCTCTAAGAACTTCAAAAAGGTCAAAGGTGATTGCGTGTATGTTTTGAAGAGATTATGTGCATATAGGTTTAGAATTGTTCTCGATACTTTTAACTGCATCGAGAAAAATCACGATAAACCCTTTGTTCTCGTTCTTCTTCTTCTTCTTCTTTGTGTTCGTCTCTATTGGATTTTTTTTTTCTTTGTTTTAACAGTAATAGACATGTCTATCGAGATAGTGTCATTCAGTCGAGTGATTCTCTTATGAAGTTTCATTATCAATATACTCAAAAAAGGGAGGAAAAGAGGCGTGTGAGGAACTTAATTTGATATTTAATTGGCTGAGGAAACAATAAAGAAAAAAGATGCTTAAACCGACCACGTGAATTTGTCTCCAAACAAGAATCATACGTGTGCGTGACAACAACCTATTATAAAATAATTAAATGTGATTAAAAGGAACTTTGGTTTATAAATTAAATATGTTTGCTTAGATTCTTAATTTACTTTCATATCATAACGTATAAAATATGATTATATGGTTCGACAAGCAAACAAAAATAATCAAAGAAAGTGAAGGTCGTCTAGAATAATTGAGGAATATTGACTTTTATTTAAATTATTATTTTTATTTACTTATTTTATATTTAGTTTTCAATATAGACGTTTTTTATAAAATAAATAATTTCCGACAGGGAGAAATTATGAAACTTTTTTAAGTATTAGTGTCGTGTGAGTATTGAGCACTTATTTTTCATTTGTACCGACCAATATATATTATTTAATTTATAAATAATAATTAATTAGGTGACGAGGATGGAGTGAATTTTTTTTTCTCCATCCTTTTATATATATATTTTTTAAAATTTTTTTAATATAATTTAATATAATATTATAAAAAAATGTTAAAGATCTTACTAAATAAGTAAAAATATAATATAATTTTTAAAAACTCAAATAAATAAATATATCAAGGGAAGGAGTTGGAGGGAGGATGTAGATTTGCCTCGTTCCAAGGCGGGTACACGGATGGGAAAAATCTCACTAAGGTGTGGAAACGTGCAGACACGTTTTAGAAGCTTGAAAGAGAAGCCTAAAGAGAACAACATTTGCTAGCGGGAGGCTTGAATAGTATCAAAGCCTGACACCAGGCGATGTGCCAGTGAAGAGGTTGTTCCACATGTTAAACGAACACGACTCTCCACAATGATATGATATTGTCGACTGAGCATAAGCTCTCATGGCTTTGCTTGGGCTTCCCCAAAAAGTCTCTACCAATGGAGTCAGTATTCCTCACTTATAAACTCATGATCATTCCCTAAATTAGCCGACGTGGGACTTTTATCATCCAACACCACGAAGGGGGTAGACACGAGGCAGTGTGCCAGTAAGGACGTTGGGCCTTTAAAGGGGGTAGATTTGGTGGGAGTTCTACATTGATTGGAGAAATGAATGAGTGCGAGCGAAAACGCTTGGACCAGGGTGGATTGTGAGATCCCACATCGATTGAAGAGGAGAATGAAACACCCTTATACTTGATAAGGGTATGGAAACCTCTACCTAGCGTTTTAAAAATCTTGAGCAGAAGTTTGAAAGGGAAATCTCAAAGAGGACAATAATAGACAACTCTCGTAAACTTCGGCTCTCGACTCGAAACCCACGAGAAAGACTCTAAGGAATCTATTCGATTAAAATAGAGAATAAATACCATAACTCTTTTGAGTGGGCATCATGTCCCAACATTATTTCTTTCAAATGAAACCAGTGATATCATAGAAATCCTCAACAAGTTTCAATTCATATGCTATCACTACAAGTATACAAGGTTGAGTATAATTCAACTGATTAAGACGTATACCTTCGAGTCCTCGGTCCCATTTCACAGCTTAGAAAATGTAGGGTTACGTTTATGAGCTCGAGCCGAGATGGCTTCTTTGAGATCAGCTGAGAGTAGAGTTCCTGAGTTCCAAGTTGCAACATAATCCAAGCCCTGTTCAACAGTTAGGTCTCTGCTTTTGAGTAGCACTGCCTTTGTTCCCACCACTGCCAATGGTGATTTTGATGCTATTTCTGCATTCACCAAACAATTTACACAGTTCATACTTAAGAAAGCTTCAATTAATTGGATATGGACAAATACTTCAAATCGAATTTAAATTTTGAAATACCTTCAGCGATTTTGATGACGCCATTGTCGAGCTCCATCTTGGAAGCAAAAGTTGTAGAAACCAGGCCCAATTCCTTAGCCTCAAAGCCCGAAAACTCCCGGCCCGTCAACGCTAACTCAACCGCCTTCCCAAACCCTACGATTCCTGGCAGCCTCTGCAGAGTCCCGAGATCCGCCGTAATCGCTAAATTAATCTCCTTCACCGAAAACACCGCCTCCGCCGTGCAATACCTCAAATCACACGCCGTCGCTATATCAACCCCTCCGCCGATACATCCGCCATGGATGCACGCAATCACCGGTTTACGGCACTCCTCAATCGCAGTTATCGAGTCTTGCATCGCCTTGACCTCCCGTCGGAGCCTCTCGCCTGCTCGACCTCGCTCGCTTGATAGAAGATCCTCGAAGTTGGAGGCCGTCGATTTGAGGTCGATTCCGGCGCAGAAGTGCTTGCCAGATCCGGAGAGGATGATGACGCGGACATCGGGGTTTTGATCGAGAGATGAAAGCGCTCGCCGGAGTTCCGCGAAGAGTTCGGTTGTGAGGGCGTTGTAGTGCGATGGACGGTGGAGGCGGAGATGAAAGACGCCGGAGTTTGGATTTTGACGCTCGATTTTTATGGATTTGTAATCTTCCATTGCTCCGGTCCACTTTGGATTGAGAAGTATTTTCTAATTTTCACCTCAAATTTCTTCATTTATTACTTACATTTAAAAAATATACATATATTATAAAATTATTTTTTTATTTTTGGAAATTTAACTTAAAATGAGAAACTTACAACAAAAAAAAAAAAATAATAATAATAAATAATAATAATAATAATAATAATAAGATACAAGCATAATTTTTATTAAAGAAAATTAAAATCTCAATTAATAACTTTTATTTTTATATAAAAAAATTAAATTAAAAATACAATTCATCCAATATTAAAATTTTAAAAATAATAACAAAGACGTGCCTCGGGAGTAGAAACGTCGATAATGTAAAAATTAACTAAAAGATGGAATTGAAAATGAAAAACTTGCAATAAAAATATAAAAAGAAAGGTCCTACCGGGAGTCGAACCCAGGTCGCTGGATTCAAAGTCCAGAGTGCTAACCACTACACCATAGAACCGCTGATTGAAACCAAAATAGTTTAAGTAACTGATAATTAATAATAATAACGGCCAACCGCAGTGAAGGCCGGACCGTTACCAAAATGCTTCTAGCCATTTCTTCTACGCGCCAAAAAAAAAAAAAATTCAATCCTTCTGCTTTCAAATGGAATATCGATAACTCGCGACTCTCTATCTTGATTGTTTATGGATTCTTCGGTAATCGTCATTTAGGCGATATACGTTAATGACTATGAGACCCCAGATGCTCTTTCAATCGGTATTAATGGTGCCCGTATTACCAACCAACAACAAAGATGATTCCAGTTCTATTAATGTCTCCCAGAGTAGAAATGGTAGTTTGAAAATTAGTTTAAAATTTAAACAGTATTATTATTTTACTAATAAATTATTATAATGATGTAAAATTTATAAGTATTTTTCTCATTTAATATAATTTACACTGCAAAAGTTTATATAATTTTATAAAAAATATTTATGTGAAGATAATTATTTTAATTTATTACCAAATAAACTCAAAAACTAAAAATGCAAGGAAATTAAAATGGAACCAAAATTATAAATGAATAAATAAAAAAGAATTTAAAAGAAAATTATAACACAAAGAAATCATTAGTATATAAAAAAAACATGAACATTAGAAAAAGAAAATTACTACAAATAATTTATAATGAAATGAACCAAAATTTAATTAACTAAAAAAAGAAAAAAAAAAAAAAAAAAGACTCCAGTTGAATCTTCTATTCCCACGTGTTATATTGGAAAAAAATAAATCACATTAAAAAAAATTTATGATTACATAAAATGAATAATTGGAAAGGAAAAAGGAAAAAGAAATTAAATGGTTGTCTTAACAAATTTTAGGGCTTCTTCTACGATTTCTTTTTCATGGAAGCGGTATTTCCGTCGAACAGGTCTTCGATCAATACTTCAATGTCTTCAGGCTGATACTTTATGTACTTCTCCGATTGTCTTCCCTGATCGAAATGCTGCTTGAATCTCCCCACGAACGAACGGTACGCCGGAATCATCACCGCCGACACCGAAACCCGAAGCTCCGATTGAAGCTGCTCGTCGCTCACCACCCAACTACTCTGCACTTTGTGTATTTCGTCGAACATGGAGTTGAAGCTTTTGAATCTCTCCTTTAAAATCGGCTTTGATACCTTCCCGTTCACCATCAATCCTTCGTGGTTCAGGCATTGCAGCACCTTACTCCATGTTTCTCTCTGGTAGTTTTTGTGGTACTGTCGCAGATTCGTTGATCGCTTGCGGCACCAACGGTCGCCCATTAACTCCTTGATTCCGGTTGAGCCTTTGATTTTCTGTACTACGTACCTTCCGTTGTTCATCAGGAAGATGTACCGAAGAGATGCGTCGCGATACAATTTTGATCTCATCACCAGATTCGTATCTAGCAGATCCATCACCATAGCGATCTGACTTGCGAGGTGAGAATTTCTCAGCGACGCGTCGTCGTTCTCGTCCACTCTTGCTGATTGATCTTCTTCGGTTTTAGGGTCAATATATTGGAAGACTTGTTCTAGGGTTTCTCTGTACTCGCAAGCGTATTTTAGGTAATTCATTATGTAGCGCGTTAATGGATGAACTGCTCCTCCTGGAACTGGAATTTTAGCGTTGTCGCTTCTGATTGAGCTTTCTAGGTCGTAGAAACTTCCGACTATTGCTTCTCCCATACCACTTTTTGCCCCTTCCGCTTCTGAAATTAGCTCCGTTCTGCAATTTTCAGGGAAGTCATTGATTACTGGAATTAATTCGCAGATCCTTTCGTACATGTCCAGTAATTTGAACATCTTCTCCGCGGACCGCTTTGTTAAGACGACGGCGTTTGCGAAGTTGAGAAGCTTGATGATGACTGCTCTTGTTAAATTGCTGAAGATTGTATGAGATATGAAGGGATGATCGGTGAAAACGGAGTCACAGAGCTTCAACTCGCCTGGGAACAGAGATTTTGAGCATTTCTTGATGACGGCAATCCATTTGTCGATTTCCGATTGAAGAGTATCCCAGTGCATTTTCTGAACCTCATCATTGCTAATACTTTCATACCCGAGCTTGTTCAAGATTCCTCTGAACGAGCTCTGCCGGAGGAAGCTGTAACTCATACAACATTCCTTCTCGTAGCCGGCGTAGATCATTGTTCCGGCAATTCTCTTCATGTTTGACACAGTTTCCTGCGAGAAAGAAGGGTATACGTCTTCCTTATCGGACTCGGAACACTCAGGAACGGTTCTGTGATGTTGATCTGGTAATTCGTGGTTTGTTTTGAAGGACGATTGCTTTGACGATTTGGTGTCAGATTTCGATTCAGGTTTCGATTCGAGCTCGAGATGCTTGCATTCTTTCAGAAGGTTGTTGAATTCTTCATCCAACAACGTCATGGCTCGCTGTAGAGCAGCGGTGGTCCGATTGAGCGAAGGAATGGTGGCAGTGCAGAGATTGAATTCGCCCAATTTAATGGCAATCTTGGAAATGCGATCCAGAGCTTCGAAAAAGGAAGAATCCCGGTCGGGATCTCTGCCGAGCTTGGCAGGGTTCTTGGTAGAATTGTACCTGGAGGTCATGGAGTCCACCAGATTGGACAAGGAATGAACGGAGGAGGGAATGTCAGGGATGGGATTGAATGCATTGTCAGCAGCAGTGGACAAACTGTGGAGGAATCGATCAACCTCTTGGAAGAGCGAGGCAATTTCAGATTGGGAAAGAAGGTGGTGGTAATGATCAATGGAGGAGGCATCATCATCATTTGGATGCTTTTCAGAATCCGATTTAGCATCATCGGCGGCATCGGGAGTGCGGCCAGGTGAGCCCAAACTGGCAAACTTCCTATTGAAATTTGTTGATAAACTAGAAACCTTTTCTGGGTGCGGGGTTTTCTCCATGGATGTTGTTAATTATATTATAAGAATTGGTGAGAAATGGAGGAGGAGGAGAAGAAGAGGGATTTTGGGGAGGAAGAAAAGGGGAATGGGATTAGTTGGTGCGTGTAGGACAGGAGGAGGGGGGGAAGGAGCTGGTGAAGAAGAGGATTAATGGATTAATGGAGGAGAAGAAAAGGTGGGGGGAGAGTGGCAAAAACAGAAGGATTAATTCTTAATTAATGGCGTTAAATTCTTAATTGGCCTCTAATTTTCAGTTTGTTGGTTATTAAGCGTTGACCCTTTTTTTTGTTGAAAAAAAAAGGTTATTTGTTTGTGACCCTCACGTATTTCTCTGCTTTCTCTCATTTTCTCTCTCTATTCAATCCATTTTGTCTTTCTTTCTCACTCATCACCTTCCAAACATCATTCTATCCGTTTATATTTTTTAAAAAAATCAATTTAACCGCTGGTGTTATTTTTTTTAATTTTTTTTATTTCATCTTATAGATTAAATAGACATCTCTATAAATATATATTTTTAGTATATATATATATATATATATATATATATATATATATATAAATCAAACACGCATTTGATCAAATATTTAAAATTTATGATTAATACAATTATTTAAAGAAATATATCAGAGACGTTCAAATATCAAAATAGATTTTTTTTAAAAAGTTTAAAGAATTTATATTCGAAAGCAAATTTTTTTTTTTTTTTTTTTT